AGTTTGTTTGTGGATAAATTTTTTCTCACGGCTAACTATATACTCCCCATTCGACAAAGTTTGCAGTCTTCCACAGGAGCGGACGTAGCAATGGGTTCAGCCCCTTCTCCAGAGATTTCGGAGGAATCATTGGGAAACAGTTTCTACCAGCACGAGCCATTCCATCTACCTACAAATTACATTTTGACTCGTGTTCAATCCAATACTGGGTACTCGGTGACTCACCCGTAACGTCGGCGAGAGAAGATGAAAGGACGGCACTTGCTCAGCCCAGTCGACGGCCATCGCTATATCGCCACGAATCGACTGTGACAACTCGCCATTCGGGGCTACATCGGAAAAGTCGCATATCTGCAAAGAAAATTCATTAGGATTTCTAAGGTCACGCCCTCTCAAACCAATGAGTCACCAAACGCCAGAGGAAGGGTAACCTTCGATCATACCTACCGGATTGTAAAAGAATCGGTCTTGTTCGGGTCCAGGTGGCGCACTGCCCATGTCTGGCAGCGTAGCTTCGTCGAATCTGCGAGTCCATATCGCGTAAACCGTACAGGAAACAGAGGGCCTCTTCAGATGCTGGCGATAACTTGGCCTAAAATAAAATAGCAGCATAAAATACCAATTGCAATTCATTGAGAACTGATATTGACGAAAAATAGAAAAAAATGATGAAAATTCGGGTTTTTTCATGGTTAAGTGAGGAAAACAAGAAGTACAATTTACTTCTCGACATTAGGCTCAGGCTGCCGTAGAGATTCGTCTTCGTGAGGTTAACTGGACATACAACTGGACTTAGTGAGCACAAAATATCATATCTCCGTTTGGCGTACGAGGGCGGCGGAGGGGGGGGGGGCATATAGCGCACTTGAGGCAGAAAACCGAAAGAATCCAGGCAAACATTACCATTCCCAGCGAGCAAGTACGACACCCTCAGTACGGATCCCCAACCTTCGACGTGCTGTGAGGGCATTACCACCATGGGGTTCATACCGAGTTTGAACGAAGCTTGTACTATCGCTAGCTTCACAGGGATTGCAGGTCTCTTTAGGAAGCATGGACACTGATCAAGGGGAATCAACAAAATGCCCCACAAAGCCGAACGATCTTATATTTACCACAAGAATGCTGAGTTATGGGCAAAAGTCAGGACCACGGACGGGATTCGAACCCGCATCTTCTGCTTACCGGGCAGTTGCGTTCCCTATTACGCTACCGAGGCCACTTTTGACCACTCAGCTCAATGGCTATTTGTGCCATAGCCTTACAGCACTCACACGTTCAACGTGATGAGCCGGTTAGCCAATATCGGCAGTAAACCGCGAGGCTGAAGGCTTTTACAAGTTATGAAGCTGTACGATTTTATATTTCCTCTGAGTAATATGACATCATCCCAGCACATTCAAATGCTCAACCTACTCAGCCTCTTCGCCACCTCTAGCACTCACCCCGGATGACGACGATGATGAGGGGCTGTCGGATGGTGAGATCGAATCGGATTGAGATGTCTGCCGTCGGCCGATCAGATCACGACATGGATGCAGCGCTGCAATCATCATCTAATAAGCACACATATAAAAATAGCATTTTAATGTCGCGAAGCCGTATCGCAGGAAAAAAAATGAGATATTACTGAACAGGTTTGAGCAGGGTCCACTAAGAAATTTTCCGTGATCTCTGATAATAAAAACCAGGCCGTTACAGGGAGTGGGGCAAAGGTGCAGGAGGAGACTATTTTGTCCCTCACTTTCAGGATGGAATGAGTTACAATCAGAGGAACATTCTCGAAATCCTATTGATTAAAACAAAATCGTTAAAAAATTGAACTTGAAAATTATCACTAAAAAAGAAATATAGGATTCAGATTAGTAGATCCTAACTGAATATTCTTGAGTCTGATTCTGCTGAATAAGGTCATTTCCGACCAATCTCTGGCAATCGCCCCTCGAGCACGACGGCTAACGATCAAGTGAGACTACTTCAGATTGCTAGGAGCTGTATACAATGCACATCCTGCCGTTGAGGGTAAACTCTGAAAATACTACACCGTTCCAAAAATTCCTCCTTGTAAGACTCCACTTTGACGCTCCCCCTTCCAACCTACCATTTTCCCAAGTTTTTCCAGTTTCCTACCACTTCGCACAGCCTTTTCCAAACATTTCTCAATTTTTTCTTCAGCAAAATTTTGACGAACAGGGAATATAGCGCCAAAAACAGGGGAAAAACTAGAAAAAAAAACAAAATCTAAGAAAGTAAGCTAAAGCTAGAAGACCCAGATACAGAAACACTGCCCAAAAGCAATTGCGGCTCTCGTTCCTCGCCCCTGTCTCCATCGACGAAACACGACCCCCCCCCTTCTGATCGGCTCTGGACCAAACCCTTTGAACCTCTTGGTGTTGGTTTATTTGTATCGGTGAATTATCCAAGATGGAAATTCTAACTAGCACGTCGGTTAGTGCCGTCGTTCAAATCACACCCCAAAGGCCGCCATGATTCTGGAACGAAGTGGGATACGTGGCGCATTCCGAAAAGTGTTGGTCACCAAAGAAGGTTTTTGATTCGAATGCCAAGCTGTTAATAGAAGTCGATGCATAATTTCGATGAAATCTCCGGAGCAGGGCGCTGCATGGTTGGATAAGCTCTAGGAGCTCAGGGAGGCCGTACTTGGCTTTTGGAGAGTGGGGGAGGGGGTGGCATTTGGTGGATGGGGGTTCTTTCAGGCTTCTTTTCAGGGCCGCTTCGATATTTTCGCTTCAACTTCATGATAAGTAATGGAGAAAAATATCAGACACACCTTGTTCATTCATTCCTATCTCCTTGCATTTGGCAAATCTACAACTACGACATATTCGTTTGGCATGAGCGCCTGAAATTACCAGTGGTTGTGATTGGTTCTGAAAAAAAACCATGCGAATTCCCCGTACCTTTCACCAGGAGACATTTGTTCTGAAATTTACATTTCGGTTGCGTACCTTGTAGAACTACCTGGAAGACTGTAAATCACATCTAATTACTAATTACTCAGCTTATGATTCCTAGAAGCTTAATATGATGGGAGTTTGTAACGAATCTATGTTCTGCACTTTGGCTCGTTATTCATCGAGCGCAATTCGGCTTGGAGAGGCACCTAATGCTACACAGCAAACACTGTGCAGGCCATCCTGCGAAAACCTGTACATCTCTGCGACCTGAAGTGGGTCACTTGCACCGTTTCGCAGTTTGACGAGACTTCACAGATCTTACCAAAGTCAGACCTGTTATTAACATGAACTAGCAAAAGAACTAGATAGAGTGCACTATGTCCCCCTAAGCCGAACCGCCCACTCATCTAATGGCACGCCGTATGAATGTGTTTACTTGATCGTGTAATCAGCTAAGTTAGATAATCATTTGTTTATTTTTTTATTTTACAAAGGATGCCCTGCTGTGCTACTCCGGAAGATACCGGTTGCAAGCTGTCAATAAGTAAATAAATACCGGTCTTCTGAGAGTTGTTAACAGATCCCTAATCTGAGGTAACTGTTCAGCTTCCCGAGTAAGCAGGGGAGTCCATCGAGAGCAAGTCCCGCCGTTAGAGAAAATTTTTAAGTACGACCCCTTCTCGACACCTTCTCCCGTGGCAGCCCCTCCCCTACCTACTCTCTCCCTGAATTTTTCTATTTTTCTACAAGTGCAAAGATTTCTTCAAAAATTCTCCATTTTCTAAAAATTTGTTTGGAGCGGGTTCGAGAGGGGTGAGCTGGGGGCGGAAGGGGCATCAAAAACGTACGACTTGCCCTGATTCCATTCGCGCAAGAAGCTCAACTTCAAAAGGAGAATCCATCGGCTAGTTTTTTAATATTATAATAACTGCTGTTTTGCGCCGCAGTTCGCGTTCTGAAAGTTATCACAAGAATGCTGAGTTGTGGGCAAAAGTCGTGCCCCAGGCGGGAGTCGAACCCGCACCTCACCCTTTCCGCGAGTGTGCTATCCGTTAAGCCAGAAGCGTGACTTGGACTTTTCTGCCGAATACCTAGCCCAATGTCGAGTTCCCTTTCCTACTGCCGAGTAGTGCTGCCAGATCTCGCCTCATGTCGCACGCTGCCGCCCACTAGGAGATCGTGCTTCTCGTCATGTTGTACCAGCTTGTTACTCTCGGCAGTTGCCGCGTTTCACTTTTTCAGTAGATACGATGTCCCACACACATGAACACCAAGATGTATTCGTATAGAAGAGCCTTATCATTTTTCATTCGCCACATCAGGTTTATACCCACAAAACATTCACTTTCGTTGTTGGTGTTGGCCCTTGTGGTGCCGATCATCGCCTATAGTCGCAGAATAGTCGCCGGATCGCTGGGTGCCGGTTACTGTCGCCTGGTTTTTCATTGCCCAATCGAGTGTTTCGTATCAAAACTATTCTTGAGTTCAATGAAATTGGACGCTGGTTCAACTGTTTACCAAGCAGAAACAAGTTCGGGAACACAGCGACAGATAATAAGTAGTACGTCATGTGGTGCCTTCCTAGGTTTTTAGGTGGAATAAATCATTTAACGATATTTCGACGTCCTTGCCTTCTTCAGAGAGCATTATTACACCACGAATGCGGTATATTCCACATATTCTATATGTAGACCAAAAGACAATCTTCCGAGAAAAATCGACTCCCGCTACTGCTAGAGATATAGAGTAGCGGATTACTCCTTGTCTACAGAGAAAAGGTAACCCCTGAAGGAGGGTACGGTGAGACGTCAAGCAGGCAAGTGCAGTCTTGTTCCTGCCCATGACGGGAATCGTTAGGGGGTTGAGTTTGGCACGAACGTCAGCACGCTTTCCACCAACTGTTTTTCTTCTTCAACAATTGGAGGAGAACAGGCTGGCGCGGCGCCAAACCCAGCCTCCTGAGAAGTACCACCATCCGCAGCGAAGACGACTGAAATTGTCCCACCTAGAAATCTAGCATGAAGAGGCTAACAAGAACAGAGAGCTGGCGAACAGAGAGTACGGTCTAGAGAGTACTTCTCTACCCTTCTTGGACTACCAAAGGCATCCCAAAATGGGTAGAGCCGTTACCGCTTTCCGCAAAACTTTTGGAACCCCTAATTTGTTCAAGTCTTTAGCGTTTTTCGCATTTCCTTCGAAAGTTCTGGTTGTGTGGAAAGGAATTACTTACGTCATTATTCTGCAAACTAGAGGGCGTATGAAGGGACGTGATTTGGGGTGCAGCCAAGGGAGGCTTTTCCACCAACTGCTGCGAGCTTGGAATGGTGAATGGTCGCCCTGACTGCGCACTGGTCATTCAACTGCAGGAAATGCCTTACCTACTAGGTGTCTACTCCTTTCAAATAAAATTTCGGCAAAGTGACAGGAAGTTGAGGAAATTCAGAGAAAGATGGATGTGGGGGCCGTAATTTTGCAAAAAAGGCTCCAACGGGCAGGACGCGACCGGCCCAAGACTTCGCTGAAGCTTCCCGTCAAGCGCCATTAATGAACATCAGCGCTATTCCAAATTTTGGCACTCCAAAACCTTTCAGAAACTCCTTCTTGGTCGACCCCTATTCCGTCATTGAGAAGCACCAGTGTCAAACTGGCCCCAGGTGCAAAAACAGAGCGCTGACTTCAATCATTTCGCTGGCGGTGGGCTGCCCCTTCTCAAAAGCAGACCGGGATACTAACTGATAAGAGCAGCAGTTTCATGAGAATTCAATACGATGCAAGGAATTTAAGATAATCTCCAAAAGGAAAATATTTGATTCCTAATCGACAACTTAAGGTCCCCCTCTCACGTTTTGTATGTTACCGTACCCGACGAAAAAAGGTTTTGCATCCAAGACATGCTGTCACTCCATAGTGATGTCCAGTGTTCGACGCTCGTCCACAGACCAGACACACCATCGGTTTCAGCTCCATTTCAGGTACTGAATACACCAACTAATCAATTACTTTGCACATATAGTTCAGTATGAACCACATGGCCCTCTAGGACCTACCTCTTGCGTGATAAAATAACGTCTCACCGTCACTACTGCTAAATGTCATGATACTGTGGCGATGTTGCTGACAATGACACCTATAAAACGACGTATGAACTAAACGAAGAGCCAGACAAATGGAGCGACAGGTTACGGTATTAAGAACGAACGCGAAGAAGGGGCGACGATGGGGGTACGTCACGGCGCGAGGCCACCACCGTCATCGCCGCTGCCGCCGTCAAATATCGAAAAAGTGCGACGTCGACGCGGGCGGTGTTCTTGAGACCGCCGCGACGACAGATCTCAGTCGACGAGGTTCACTCAATGAATAACGTACGATGCGCGGGGTCTAAGAGGGGGAGTCTGGAGAGGTTCAGGTTGTCTTCACCTCGCTGTGCTGATTGACCTTATGAAGTGAGGAATAGGAACATTCGAGGGCGTCTAGAGTGTAAAAGAAACCAACCCAGGAAAAACATGCGTTGTCCACGAATGGCTGGTTTGGAAGTGGACGTCGGTTTCCTGCGTCTTGGTTAGAATAGATTCGAGCAATAATACGAACGGATATTTCAAGAAACTCGAGTGTTTGATATTTTTAGGGTGTCAGGATTC